CTTTCAGTCCTCAGCCTTCCTACGAAATCTGCAATCAAATCCTTCCTGTACTGTACTGTTCTGTTTTTCACCTCAATTGTTTTCTATCTTAATTTGAAGAAGGTTTCAACATCTTAGTGCCAACTCGGGCTTTAGTTTTGTCATTAGTGTGTCATCTGTGACAAGAGCATGCTCAGCCTTAAAGTGTATGTAAAAAAAAAAAAAAAATCAAATAACTTTATTCATTTAAACAATTTTTTTTTTGGTATACGGTGTCAGTGCCTTTTCTCCTTCCTTTTCCTGCAAAAAATGCACAAATACCTGTAGACCCTGCCAGTGCTCCCGCTTGTACCACTGTTTTCTGCACAAGGAGCTTGGGGAGGAAGAGGGGTGAAAGTGGTCATGTGACCGCTAGTAAAAAGATCCAATAATGGTAATTTACAGGCATTTTTGGGGGGATTCTGTTAGGGTGTATTGTATAAAAAAAAGCTCTACAGAATACTAGCATGTGAATATAGCACAAATCGTGCTCACATCCCTGACAGGTTTTTTGTTTTTTTTTTATAACAAGAATTTTATTATGTTTGCACATTTTAAAAACAAACAATAAAAGACAAAAAAAAAAAAGTAAAACAGTAAGTAACCATACACAAATGTGGCCATTAAGGGAATGTATGGAGTGGCGAAGAGAAATGGGGCCATCTGCTAAAATTAGGACCAATGCGAGGAAGGGTGGTCAGTACAGGCGGCAACAACATAATTACGAGGGCACATCAATGCATGAAACATCCTAAGCGTTCTAATTGAAGTAACTACCATAATATAGCTAATCGGTTATGTGGTTCTGATCAGGCATCTGGGGGTCTGACAACCAGCAAGCCCATTGTGAGGCGAGTTGTAAGGTTGGCTTTTGCGAAGAGATATTTGAAGTGGGCGTGTGTATTTAAGATTTGTATGACATTGTGCAGAGATGGGGGCTCAGGCTGTTTCCAGGCTCTTGCTATGGCAAGACGAGCTGCAATGAGGACATGAGATACTATTGTGCGAGAACTCTTGGGCCAAATTTCCAAGCCTATCCCTAGTAGAGCAAGATGTGGGGAATGAACGTGCGGGACCTGGGTGATAACAGATATAAGGTTGGAGATAGCACCCCAGAAAGACTGGAGTGAGGTACATGACCACCATATGTGAGACAGTGAGCCCACCAAGCCGCAAGAAGGGAAAGCTCTCGCCAACCTCTGGGAAGTAAAATACCATTTGTGGAGTATTTTATTGCACTGATTCCCAGTGGCTTAGACACTTAGAAGTTTTCAAGGTTTGGGAGATAACTGAATACCAACTTTCCAGTGATACAGAGAATTGCAATTCCTTTTCCCACCAGAGCATTGACGGTAACTTTATAGAGTCATGCGGTCCGGTACCCGTCAGGCTTTTATTGCTGGCCATGGCTACATTTTGGAGATTACTTACTGTTCAGGTTTTGTCAAGTGCTGAAAGATTGAAAACCACTTTTGATCTTATATTAGCATGTTAAAGTTTATATGAGGTTTTAGTTATTGGGCTACTGGATAGAACACTTACCACCATTGTTACCATTTCTCTTTCATCTAGGTACTTAAAGATTCTTTTATTGGCAATTCAAAGACCTGCATGATCGCTAACGTATCGCCCAGTCACATAGCAACTGAGCACACGCTGAACACCCTGCGTTATGCAGATAGGTAAGTGGCGACTTCCTCAAACAATTGAGCATGGGGAACCCTACATGATAGTACTGACATGTTCAGATCAGTAGTGTTTGGAGGGATCACTGCCTACCTGATATATACATATATCGTGGCCATCAAGCCTTTTATATTCATGTTTGAAAGCCATATTGTTCCACAACAACCAGATTCATATTGTAATTCTTCAGCTGTCATTTCAAAGTCAGGTTTCAGTCTGATCGGTGGGAGTTGAGCGCCACACTTCCTATTTTATAATCACTTGATAAAAGTCGCTACCCTTAAATTCTCTGTTGTAGACCATGTGACAGATGCCACAGTATCAGTCATGTGACCGACTGTGGAATTCAAACCCAATTGATGTTGTTTTGAAAATGTTACCAACGCATTGTTCTGCAAAACACGAAGTGCCCCATATCTTACCATATCTTACCATGTATCTCCAAGTGCCCCATATCTTACCATGTATCTCCAAGTGCCCCATATCTTACCATGTATCTCCAAGTGCCCCATATCTTACCATGTATCTCCAAGTGCCCCATATCTTACCATGTATCTCCAAGTACCATGTATCTCCAAGTGCCCCATATCTTACCAACAGTGTCTTAGGTCAACATGTTCCCCACTAGTATGCTGCAGAGAGGGACCGCTGTGGTCTGTGTAAGAGCTGAAGTATCTTTGCTGTGGTCTGGCACACCTCCTGCTGAGTCAGACCGGAAGGGGAAGGTTTGGCTTGTCAGACCGCACTGCACATCATACTGACTGGGGACAGGCTGATTTAGGAGAGCTGAAGCTGCTTTACCAAAAAAGGCCAACAATAAGACTTGGGCTTTTGTTCACTTCAAGCATCACGAAGCAAGTTAATGGAAATTCAAAACCTACTTGTAGCAAGTCAAACGCACCTGTCAGTGAATTCTGAATGATCCCAAAATTGTCTTAAACTGAAGTCATTGACACATAGGCCCTTTTTAATGTTTTAGACTTTTTTTTTTTTTTTATCAGCCTCATTTGACCTCTTTAAAGCTAAACCTGTAGTTGGGCTGTATGAATCCTGATCGCAGTGCCACCAATCCAAGAGGGTTAAGCAAATATTTCCTTTTTTTCCCCAGGATCCTCCGTGAATGAAATAATTACTGACCTTATATTTTATTTTTAGGGTGAAAGAATTAAAAAGAGGAATAAAGAACACCCCAACATGCACTAATCGAAGCAGAAGCACCCCTTGCGTGTCTCCAAAACGGGTTCAGAATACATCCTCGGCGCTGGGGGAAAAGATATCCCCTAAAAAAGTAAAACTGGGCGCACAATACTCATCTACCTCAGTCACCGCAAAGACCAAATCGTATCCGTCCGTCTTCCATCCCAACAATGTGCCCCTGTCATCGACCCCAAAAATCTCCGTCAGGCAAAATAATGCAAAAGGTTCCCCCATCCAAGCCTGGCTTGCCCACACCACTCCACTGAAAGGTGCCGCTAGACTGGGACATAACGGAGCAAAGAAGTGTGAAAACCAGGATAAGGCTCCAGTACAGGGGAATCCTCAGGACGCTGAATATGAAGTGGAAACTGATTTCAAAGTCCACTTCAACCATCATCGACAACTAGTGCAACGCGTTCAACCTGTACAACCAGTGCAGAAACATATTGTCTCAAAGACCGCGATGCCTTTTTGGGAATACAACTTAAGGCCAGTACATTTAGGGGATAAAGTCCATCAGAAGACTAGCAGTGAGCCGAGTAACCGTCCAGAACAAAAAGACCGAGAGGAACACTTAAGACATTACCACCAGCAGTTCCAAAACCCACCGATTTTCCAACAAAAGCTGCAATACCGACCACTGGAGAAGATCTTGGACCTCTATAAGCCCCAAGAAGTTCTAGTCGGCCACATCAACACTTCGCTGTCACATCACGAAGGACTGCCTCTGGAAGACCCCGATGATAGTGATTTTAGCGAAGACTCTTTTTCTTATGTGTCGGTACAGAAAAAAGGGAAGAAAGAAGAGTTGGTCCGTGAAAGACTATCGTTCTTCCTTCACCAGGGTTCTCCGGACATTAGAAAGGCGGCAGGAAAAGGTCAAGGTTTAAGCTTTAGTGATTCTGAATCTCCGGAACATAAGCAGGGAGTAAGTTGTGACTGTGCAGGCAGCTGTGGGATTTTGGAGCGGACACAACCATGTGGCCACCAAAACTTGTGGAGTTCTGGAGAAGACCCCGGCAGCGCATGCGACTCGTCAAATATCAGCAATGCACCAGAAAAGCCTTATTCTTCTCAGGAGGAACCCCCAAAGCAGCCGAAGAAGAAGAAAAGCGAGCGGTCATCCAAGAGCAGTCCTCACACAGACACTTCTACTGATCTTATTGCAGAACAAGAACTACATAATGCATCTTCCCCTCAGATTGGTTCTCGAGCAGGAGGAGCCATGCTGAGTAGAGACTCTTCTAGAGAGGCTGCGAACAATTCTTCAGACTCTTCTGCAATGATGGCTCCTCTAACAGTGTCGCTGCTCCAGGACAACTGGTCCGTGGAGTCTACCCAATACCTTCGTCCTCACAGCTCCCCAAAGTCAAAGGTTGCTTCAAAGGATGGAAGTTTTGAAAAGGATTCTACTCTAGAGTCCCAAATCGATGAGCATTCCATCGAAAAGAATCTCTCGGCCCTTGTGAAGAAGATGCTGCGCTATAATGAAAGTTTACAATTGCAGAACTCTCAGAATGACTGGTTCCTGGAAGCCAGTGATGGATGCAACCTGCCTAGCTCCACGGACTCTCCTTCCTTTATGGCTCAACAAGGATCATGTGATAGAACGTCTCCAAAATTGGCCAATGTGGGACAGTCACCAAAGAAAATTGATTTCAGCGACTCTTCTCTGGACACTGCGAATTCCAGATCAAAGGATCTGATTCCTCCATGTTATGACGCAGATGCTGAAGAGACAGCAGCAAGCCATCAACGATATCTGGCATCTCCGGGGGTTTCCGACAGGAGTAATTCTGACACGCAAAATGACCAGAAAGAGATTTTATGTCCAGAGCCCTCTGAGCTCTTAATACCGACTTCCAAAACACAGTCTGGTTGTGCGTCAGGGAGCCATAAGAGACAACAAGAGTTGAGCTTTGAAGACACTGGTCTGAGCAGCTTGGAAGACTCATTCGGGGGACCCTTTAAGGACAGCGGGCTGGAAAAACTTAAAAATAAACTTGTGAAATGCATATTAGCCCAGCAGGGTAATAAAGAAGAGGAACGAAGTCTCAGGAACGAGAGGAATTCCAAAAACAAAACCACCTCCTGTGGACAGTTAGTATTGTCGCCAACGACGAGTCAAAGCATAAGAGACTTTGAGAAATCGCAGTAAGTGGACCATAGAAATCGCGTCCGGTGTTTGTTTCATTTGGTTATTTTCTTGTTGTTTTGGTGTTCTGATCTCTCAAAGCTTTACAGCGACAGTCTCAGATCCCATCTCTGCCGCCAGGACTGCGCTCTCAGCTGTGGAGAGTTTTTCCCACCCTGCTGGACAGCAATCTAAGTGCCAGCAGACAGAGTGATTGCCACTGGGGTGGTTAACTGCATGTTAGACCCTTTACATCCACAGAGCAAACAGCTGCTGTGTGTTTAACAGAAATGTGTCGTACAGAGACCTTCATAATATCTGCTGTAACTAGGGATATACCGATACTGGTATCGATATCGGTGCCGATTCCGAGTATTTGGGCAAGTACTCGCTCTCGCCCAAATGCTCCGATGCCTAGCACGAGTACTTCCGGTATCAGGAAGCCGGGCAGCGCGTCATTACACGCTGCCCGGTTTCGCGATTGACCGGAAGCTGGCCTCGTGAGGTAAGGTTACCTTACCTTAGTATGTGTAGCCTGTCATCCCCCGGGGCCTCTCCAGCGAGAACGCGGTCTTCGTCCGCTACCCAGCCGGAGCCGTCTAGCCGGCCAATCAGGAAGCCGGGCGTCGTCTAATGACGCGACGCCCTGCTTTCTGATTGGCCGGGAAGCTGGCTTCATGCTCCCTCGTCATCTCATGACAAGAGAGCGACGAGCCGGCCTCCCGACCAATCAGTAAGCAGGGCGTCGTCCAGTCATTACACGGCGCCCGGCTTCCTGATTGGCCGGCTAGACGGCTCCGGCTGGGTAGCGGACGAAGACCGCGTTCTCGCTGGAGAGGCCCCGGGGGATGACAGGCTGCACATACGAAAGTAAGAGGGGACTTTTTTGTTAATCGGGAAGCTGGGTGGCGACTCTTTACACGCCACCTGGCTTCCTGAATGGGACTT